CTCCTCCTCCTCCTCCTCCTCCTCCTCCACCTCCTCCCCCTCCTCCTCCTTGGAAAAAAAGTGGCGGCAAAGGCGGCGGCGGCGGCGGCGGCCCGCGGACCTGGTCGGCGGCACCGATCCAGGGGGGGGCGGCGGGGCGGCGGGGGCACCGTGGAGGGCGCGCCAGAGACCACCGAGCCCTGCATGGAGTGCCTGGGCGCCACCGGACGTGCCGCCGACGACGACTACAACCCTGACAGCCTGGCGTCGCAATGGTTTCACAGCGACGCTTTTGGCCGTCTTCATTGGTTCTCTGCAGTTTTCGCGCCTGGGGATGCTTCCCAGGAGCTGCGCCTCGCTGGAGACATTCTGGTCGTGCCCGGATCGATCCAAACGGCCGCCAGAGAACCGAGTCATGACCCGAAAACTGAAGGGGTTGGGCCCTGAGGCCCAAGCATCGCAATGGTTTCACTATGGCGGCTCGGGCCCCGGGACCCTCGCGGATCGATCCAACTCGAAGAAGGCCGCACAGGTGGCGTGCAGGGGCTCTGGTCGGGTTTTTGTTCACGATGCTGCAGTTGTTTCGTGACGTCAGAGCCCTGGGGGCGACGACGGCGGCGGCGGCGGCGACGGCGACGGCGCGCCCGTGGCCACCAAGCCTGCAGAGTGCCTGGGCGCCGCGCTTGCCAAATCTCGGGCAGCCCAGCGAGGGCAACAGATGCGTAATTAACGATTGGACGTCTTGCCGTGAAAAATTGAGGGTCGCGTCTTCCGTCGATCTTGCGCCACGCAGAGTGTCCCCCGAGTACACTGAGTTGGGCGCCCGAGTTATCCGGGGTAACTCGGGTCCGGGGTAACTCGGGTTGGGATTCCCGAAAAAGGAACCCGAGCTAGCCATGACCCGAGTTACCCCTGATGATTCGGTGCTCTGGACGCCCGAACTATCCGGGGTAACTCGGGTCCGGGATAACTCGGGCTCGGATTCCCGAAAAACGAACCCGAGTTAGCCCTGACCCGAGTTACCCCTGATGATTCGGGGCTCTGACTGAGGGTCCCACAGCAGGGCCATCGGGGAATATGACAGTTGTGCGGGGCATGGGCTGGCAGGCCGGCATCTTGCATGGCGTGCCCACCGCAAGTGCGCGACGTCATTGTAGCCCTCCTGTAGCGCCCCCCCGGCACGCGGCTGGATCCGCATCGAGATGCTGGTCGGAGCGCGACATCGAGCAGGTCCTGGGGTCCGTCGTGGGCCTGCGGCTGTCACGCTGCGTCTTCGGCTCTCCTCTCGGCGCGGATCCGACGTGCCATCCGCCGCTCTGGCCAGAATCGGGGGCGTCCAAGAGGGCGTCCAGGAGGGGGGCCCGCAACTGATGGCCCGAGGCACGTGCGCGGACGAGGAGGAGGAGGAGGAGGAGGAGGAGGAGGAGGAGGAGGAGGATTGGAAGCAGAGGAGGCCACGAAATCTGGGGAGGCCTCGTGGCCCCAGCCAGCCCACCCTCCCGCAGGCGGAACCCCGCGCGGGGCACGCCCGCGGGGAGAGCAGCAGGCGAGGGAGGAGGACGAGTGCGCACCTGGGCGGGCCGGGGCGGGAGGCTACTCAAGGGGCCACAGAACACACACAAAATAAACATATTCCCAATATTTTCCTATATGTTCTGGGCTTGTGTCTTCCCTCCCACTTCCCATATTTTCGCACATTTTCCTTGGGATCGACTATGACTTGTGCCTGTGTGAATTTTGTCCCCTCCTGAGCTACGGCGGCGCCGCGTCGCCCCCGAGCACGGGCTCGCCGGGGCCCGGCCTCGCGGCGCGCTGCCACAGCAGCGTCTCCGGGGGCACCCGCGCGCCGACCTTCGAGAAGAGCACGCCGCGTCCGCGGACGGCGGGGCACCTGACTACCTACCAAACCACCCCAACCCAACCCGAAGACCCGAATTTGACCCGAATTTCGGGTTGGGGGGGGTACGGGTTCCATGTGTTTTTTCGACGTTCCCCGACCCCCCCCCCCTGGAAATCGAGGATAAATTGAGGCCTTCGGGTTGGGTTGGGGTGGTTTGGTGGGTGGTGAGCACCGGCGCACGGCCAGCTGGGTGGGTCGCCTAGGCTTGAAGTCGAGGCACTTCTCGAAGTCTGCCGCCGTGCCTGCACGGTGTGGGCGTGTTAAGAGCCTGGGCCGGCACGGGAACTTGCCAGAGGGGGCTCTCATGGTACCGTTTGCTTGTGGGGCCTTTGGCGTCACGAGCTCATCCCCGTCACCGCTCGTTCCCGGGAACCTCGGTGTGAAGATCTTTTGCACGTCATCGTTCGCTCTTGGGAGCCATGGCGTTATGAGCTTTTTGCGCAAGCGCTCGCTCTTGGGAGCCTTGGTGTGAAGAGTCGTTAACGTCACCGTGGATCAAAAACTGTTTGCGTCACCTTTCGCTCTTGGGAGCCTTTGCGTCAAGATCTGTGTACGTCACCGCTCGCTCTTGGTTGCCTTGGCGTTGAAAGCTTTCTGCGCCACTGCTCGCTCAATAGGGCCCTTGGCGTTCAAAACTGGTTTCGTCGCCGACTCGTCTTCACGGGCTTTCCAGTCACCTGGTGCTCGTGGGAAACTTGGCATCAAATCCGCGTCCGACATGGGGCCGTCCGGGGGGGGTCCTGGGTGACCCTTTGGGAGCCTTCAGGCCCTCTTGGGCCGTCCCGGGGCCCTCTTGGACCGCCTTGGCGGCCGGCTTGGGGCGCTCATGAGGCCATCTTGGGAGCCTCCTGTGGCCTCGTTGCGGCTCTCCTGGGATCCTCTTGGGGCTCTGTGGGGCATGGGACTCTCTTGGGCTGTCTTGGATTGCTTGTGGGCCGTTTTGAAGCCCCTTGTGGGAGTCTCTTGGGACGTCTTGGGGCGATCTCAGAAGCGCCCAAGGCCGTCTTTGGTCGCTCTTGGCCCGAGACAGGGACAACCCACAAATCCTGCAAAGACAATCGGGAAACTTAGGATTTCCATCCTCCAGAACTTTTGGGAGTTCTCTTGGGGACCTTTCGGGGCGTCGTGGGGACGTCTGGCCGTGACGAGGCCGTCAGGAGTTGTCTGGGATCGCCCTTGGACCGTCCTCGAATCTTCTCGGGTCTCTCTGGAGCCGTCTTGGGGGCATCGCTGGGAATCTTGGAAGAGATGGTGACCGTCTTGAAGCCTGCTGGGCCGAAAAACCCGCCGACATGAACCCCAGGTGGAGTGCTCGCAACTTCGTCCCGCCACGCCCCCCCCCCCCCGCCCCCCTCTGGGGAGAAATGTTGTTTCGCCCGCTTTTGTTTCACCCGCTTCCGTTTCGCCCGCTTCTGTTTCGTCCGCCTGTGTTTCGACAACTTCTGCGTCGCCCGCCCTTGTTTCGCCCGCCTTTGTTGTTTCATCCGCTCTCGTCTCGCCCGCCGTTTGTCTCGTCCGCTGTTGTGTCGTCCGTTGTTGTTTCGTCCGCTTTTGTGTCGTCCACTTTGGTTTCGCCCGCTTCGGCTGTGCGCGCTTTCGTATGCAACCCGGGCGAAGTAAATCCGGATGAAATCAAGCCGAGCGCCTTGAAACTTAATGAGTTTATAAGCGGGTCGAATTAAACCCAAATGATCTTCAACTGGGCGAAATAAAACCGGATGGGTTTCAACGGGCGATACAACCACATAGGTTTTAACCCGGCAAATTACAGCCCGATGAAGTTCAACTGGACGACCTAACACTAGGTGAATATAGACGGGCGAATTCAAACCAGATGAATTTAAACGAGCGGATTAAAACTGGATGAATTGAAACGGGTGCGCATGAACAACGCTATTGGCACGTGCGCTGCCCAATCATTGTTCTCGTCGTCTTTGGTCCAGTGGCTACCGCGATAAAGCGGGCGTGGCGATTGGGCACCACAAAGGGAATCGATCCGCCAGGGTTCACGACACTGCGGGATTCGCCCCCGCATTGTGGAGGCGGTGTTTCAAGCGGTTTTCCTTCTCTTGCCTTCCTAGACTCTCCACCTTCGGCATTTTCCAGGAGGACGACGAAGACGAGCAGGAAGGAGGAGGGAGGAGGAGGAGTGCGAGGAGGAGGACGAGGAGCACGAGGAGGAGGAGGACGAGGGAGAACGACCACAGGAACAGGGGAGGCGACGACGACGGCAACAATTATCGACGACGACGATCGGCAACGACGACGACAACGACGACGACGACGAAGATCGAGGAGGGGGGCCGCCACCGCCTCCAACTCCCTCGTCGTTGCCATCGCCGTCGTCGTTTCAATGTGGTGCTTCTCTCTTCGCGACCGAGCAGGGGGGGCAGCAGGGAAATTATTATTCGTGATGTTCGATTGTCGCGCTGTCCCGCGGTGGCCCATCATGTCCCGTGGCGCGGTGCCCTTTAGTGTTCCGTGGTGTCTCGCGAGGTCGATGGGGACATCCATAGTGAGATAGAATGCGAAATCGATCATGAAATCGATAGTGGGATCGGCATGGAGATCGATGGTGAGAGCGATGGGAAAATCAATAATGAGATCGATTATGAGATCAATTGCGGGATGGGGTGCGCTGGCACCGTAGTCGCACAGCCCTGTCGGAATGGACGGAGGCCTCGAGACGCACTGAAGGAATGTTTGTCGGTCTCTGGCCAACTCCGCGCGGCGTGGCGCTGCTGGCCTGCCTGCTGTCGCAGCAGCTCCGGTGCTAGCTGTGTGCTGCGGAACTCGTCGATGTGTCGTCGTTGGGTGTGGTCGAGAGTGGAATACACGATGTGCTCGGACGGATTTCGGCCGCACGCCCAGGTTTCGAGGCCGACGAACAAAGCAAAGCGGCCACTCTCACCGATGGCCAGCCCACATCCGCTGGCCTGTCCGCGTCGAACCGGGCCACTCCAGAGGGAGTGTCTGGCATCGGCGGCGGCGCATGGGCCGGCGCCGATTGTGGCGGCCAGGTGGAGCTCGACCCGACTAAAACATGACGGCGAGCGACGCCACTGATGGCCCGTAGGCCCACCCCGGCAGATGCAAGTCGGCAGCTGGCGGCGCGGGGGCTGCGGCCTGAGCGCGGAGGCCGCCCAGCCAGTCGCGCCCCTGGTCCTGTCCCAGGAAAACATCGACAACTCGCGTCCATGGCGGCAATGCTGGCGATGCTGTTGAAGCTAGCTGTCGGCGCTGTAGGAGCGGCCGGCGCTGGGTCCCCCGCTGCTGCCGAATGGGAACGCAACGCGGTCGCACTACCCACGGGTTGAGCATAGGCTGTCAGGCGGCCCTTGAAATCGGCCATATCCTGCCGCAGCCGCCGCAGTTCGGCCCCGCGGGGGTTGGGCGACGCCGACGAAGAAGACGCGCCCGCCCATCGCGGCCAATGGCGGCGGCCAACCTGTTGCCGCGAGCCGTCGGACGACGCTCTTGGCGGAGTGGCTGCCGCTGCTGCTGCCGGCCGCGGCGCTGCCGATGCCGGCGTAGGCCCTGCGCCGTTCCAGATCAACTCCATGCGCGGGGTCACTTGCGCCCGAGCCTGCAGACACAGTCTGCCCAGGGCCGGCGGAGCCCCTGATCATCCAATCCGAATGCGTGCTCGTCAAGGGCTACTGATCAGCCGTGCTCGGTGGCCCTTGCTGCCCCTGGGATGACAGCGGCGCGGGCGCCGGTGGAGCTGGGGCACGGGCGCCGAGGAAGAGACCGCGCCCCTGGTTAAGGCGCCGGGGGCAGTCGCGCACGAGGAGTTCCTCCGAGTCACACTCGTGGAATTTGAATCGCGCCACGTCAGGGCACAGGGGTCTGCCTTGACGGCCCGAACCCGCGCCATTGGTCCTGAATCTCCCTGTCCGCTTGCCTTTGCCCGCCCCGAAGCCCGCGAATGTCTCCCCGAAGTCTTTCTCGGACAGGTCGGCCAGGAAGGCCCCGTAGCCCTTGCCGACGCCCGTGCCCTTCCCCCCGATGACCCTCTCGGCGCGGCGCGTGGGCTTGCGGCCGTCGAAGCGCCGCCGTCGTGCTTCGGCGCGCTCGTGAACCCAGAACAGAAGCGCGCCGCGCTGTTCCACGGGAACATCGCGTAGCTCAGGGCCGTCGGCGGCTATCTCTCCGTCGCCGAATGAGCTGGTGGCGTCGGCGCATCGGCGTCAGTGTCTGAGTCGACGGCAGCTGCAAGGAAGGGCCCCTGCGCCGGCGGTGCTGGCGCAGGTGGGCTCGGCGCCGCTCCCAGCGCTAATGGGCCCGGGCCGTCCCAGCTCCATCCGGCCGCAATGCCATAGGCGCTCTGAGCCTGACCTTGCGCGGGCGTGCCCGAGAGCAATGCTCGCCGTTGGGCTGAGCGCACCGCTGAGGCGAGATTGCCGGGAGATCCTTCGAGCGATCCATCGATCATGTGCCCAGAGCGTCGCAGTCGGCTCGTCGCACGTGCGAGTTGTGCTGCGCTGGTAGGGTAGGCCATGTCGCTGCGCTGCAAGATCACGGTCAGTTGCGCGCGCGGCACTCCCACCGCGCGCAAGAGGAGGAAGCCGAGACCTTCGCGCCGATCATGAGTTGACCAGCTCGTTGGGCGGGGTTGCGGGGGATGCCGAAACGCGCGAGGACGTCGTCGATGAGTTCCCGCGGCAATCGGTTGGAATTCATGGGCGCCGAGACTGCCGAGGCCCGCCCCTCCTCGCCCAGTTGGCCCCACCGTTCACCCAACCTGTGCATCAGGACGGTCATCGGTGGCACTGGGTCGCCGTTGACGGCGCCTCTCTGGATGGCGACAGCTGGCGACCACTCGTCCGCGCACTCTCGGGCCACGCCAGCGAGTCGCGACGAGACGAAGGCCGCCCGGCGGAACTTGCCCGGGTCAGAGTTCGCCACTGAGCATACCATCGCCTCCCGCGCCCAACGTTGGGCGCGCCGCCGCCGCCGCCCCCAGCGCCCGCGCAGGTTGCTCAGCTTGCCGGAGCGAGCATGCCCACCCCGATGGCATTCCATCCTGAATGGGCGCCCCTCCATAGATCAAGGAGGCGCTGGAGGCTGGGGGCCCAGTGGGGCCTCGGAGCCGTCTGGGGCCCCTGCCCCGAATGTGTTTCTCTTCGTCAACGCACGGGGTCTTGCCGTCTATTGCGTCGTTACGGCTATCTTCGCACTCGGGGCACCTTCGCAAGATTACTGCGCTCGTGCCCCTCGTGTCTTGTCG